CAACCATTGACAATTCATGTTAGCGTGTTATTTATTTCTTTAATAGTTTATACACCCCAGACTGGCCTCAAAATTACCATTCTCCTGCCTCAGCCTCTCTAGGGTTGGAATTTCAGGCAGGTATATTAGCATTCTAAATTTTATTATATGGCTTACAATTTTTGAAAAAGAAAAATTTCCCCCAATCAAATTTCCTAAATTATATCATTTTCAATACAGATCTATCCATCCTTCCATCTTTTTTAGACCACAGTAGAAAAGATTTTATAGATTTATCTTTATCTGTATGTCATTATTGAAAATAGTGTAAATAGGGGGCTGGAAAGATGGCTCAGTGATTAAGAGCATTGACTGCTCTTACAGAGGACCTAGGTTCAAGTCCCAGCACCCACATGGCAACTAACAACCATCCCTAACTCCAGTTCCAGGGATGCTTTCTTTTGACCTCCTCGGGAACTGCATGACACGGGTGCACTTACATACATGCAGGCAATACACTCATCCGCCTAAAATAAAAGTAATAAAAAGTATAAATAAGAAGATAGGTGTATTTTGATAAAATATATTAACCAGAGTTTACTTTCTTTACAATTTTCAACTGCAAAGTAAGGCAGCATTAAGCATGTGATCAGTGTGAATAAATCGTCACTGCCAACCATCTCCAGAGGTTTCCATCATCCCAAGGTGAAGCTTCACATCCATTTAACAGTAACATCCGTCATTACTTCCCTACCTCAGCTCAAAAACCAGAAGTCTAATCTCTGTGTCTATGAATCTCACTTAGGATATGTTTGGCACATGTTGTATTTCAATTATTTTGATAGAAATATATATTTTTTGGCTTTTTGAGACGGTCTCCCTGTAGCCCCAGCTGTCCTGGAACTCACTATGTAGACCAGGCTGGCCTTGAACTCACAGAGATCCGCCTGCCTCTGCCTCCCGAGTGCTGGGATTAAAGGTGTGCACGATAGAAATATTTTAAATGCATTAAACATATAAGGGCAAGAAGAGGAAAGGTAAAAAGGAAGGGGTAAGGAAGTGGATGGAGAAAAGAAGGGAGTGAATGAGAGGACAGGAGAGAAATGTCAAGTTTACTGATGCATAATTAACGAATCTGAGTCGTTTAGGCTGTGCGATATGATGGTCTGATATGTGTGTGTACTGTGAAATGCTGATGATGAACACGGTAGTGAACCTATCCTCCACCTCTCATGTCTTTTTTACATATGATAAGGATATGTAAGATCTGCTCTTAGTATTCTCTTCGCACATTTCAAATCATTGTTATTTCCTATGCCACCAGTCTGGATTGGGTTCACAGACCTCATCTGTCTTACTAATGAAAGTCTGGGCCCTTTGGCTAACACCTCTGTATCTACTGGCCTCACTCCCTTGTAACCACTGTTCTGTTTTCTCTGAGCTTGACCTGTTTTAGATTCCACATACAAGTTCAATCCTGCAGCATTCACCTTATTTTGGTTTCTCTCATTTATCAGATACATTCTTGTTACACACATTAGCAGCTCCTTCATTTTATTCCTCAATAAAGTTCAGATACAGCTCACATTACTTCAATCCATCCATCAGCATAGACATGGGTTTTTCTATTTTGGCTGTTGTTCATATGTTGCAAGGAACACAGAATGCAAATGTTTTTGAATCTACACTGTGCTTATTTTATAAAAGATCATGTTAATAAGTGATAAAATCATGTCTTTGGTATTACAACGGTGTGCCAAGGGAGTGGTGAAGTACTAAAGCTTTGGGGGAATCAATCGTGGGAGGTCCCTGAGTACTTGGCATTTAGTTTTTACGACAATTTTTTGTAAATATGCCATCTGTTTCTAATCAGCTGTCTATATTTTTTAGAAACCTCCTTGGCACAGTGGCTCACAAAGCTTAAGATACAGAGGAATCACCTGGGACAATTTTACGATGCAGGATTTGGTTCTGTAAGGCCCAAGGGTCTGCCTCTTTGAAGAGGTCCTAGCTCAAACTGCTCAGGTAGGTCCTCAGTGAAAAGGACCAAAAGTAAAAACACCAACAAATCTAGAGGTACTTTACAATCACCGGTCTCTAACAATGCACTGAACTCAAAGCTCAGTATTCATTCACTAAAATAGCAACCAAAACAGCAGTTTATAGAGCATCTAAGTGAGGGTGCCTTCTGGGAAAGGGACACAGCCTATACAATATCAACTGGAAATCTCCCCAAGGGAATGTTTGATACTTTTCCAGGATAGCATAAGTATTTCTGAAGTTGCTCAGATTGCATATAAACTGCTTGCTATGCAAGTGTGGGGACCGGTATCCACAGGAAAAATTAGGTATGGCAGTGGGCACCTATAATCCCAGTGCTGGGGCAAGGAGTGTGGAGCTGGGAGATCCCTGAAGCTTAGCCAGTCCAACCAAATCAGTGAGAGACCCTATCTCAAACAATATGATGATGCCGGGCATGGTGGTGTGTGCCTTTAATTCCAGCACTCCACATATGAATCTCTGTGAGATTGAAGCCAACTTGATCAACACAGCAAGTTCCAGTCCAGCTGGAGCTACAGGGAGACTCTTTCTCAAAAAAAAAATGTATATATAGGAGAAAACACATATGTACTCATACACCGTACACACAAAGAAGGAGATAAAAGGGAAATGCATATACACATTGAAGAAGATATAAAGGCGTTTTGTCTGTGCTCCATGAACTTGGAACTTTATTAAAACTAATTCTGTACTAAAATCCAAATTTCTGAAACAGAAACTTAAAAGTATGTGTAAAATATTTCAACTGTTTTAAATTAAGGATGCCATTTCTAAAAATATGTGCATGCATTTACGTGCGCAAATATATTAAATGCTTTAATGAAGGCATCGCTGTGAATATATAACAATGGTGATAATTCATTGTAATATAAATAATTTCCTCAGAGCAAATATAATTGTATTAGTGTTGTTGTTATGTGACAGAATACCTGAAATAAATAAAAGGCAGATTTTGTCTGGGTTCTTGATTCAGAAGGTCAAGTTCATGGTCCCGTAGGCTTGGCCTGAACATCATGTCACAGAGATGAGATAGATACCTCAGATAAAGTAGCAGAGGGGGAAAATCTGGAATTCAGCTCGTTTTTCTCCTTTTTCTTTTATTCCGTCATTTCTGCCCTAGCCTATGGTATGGTGCTGCTCACAACCAGCATGAACCTTCACCCTAATTAACCCTCTCTACCGATGCCCTCAGAAGTGTGCCATACCAATCACCACTGGGATTCAGAACCCCGCCAAGATGGCTATGAAGATCGACCATCACAGTAATCATTCAAATCCAAGACGTAATCGGTTTGGAATTAGAATATAGGATACATATGTTTATATGTGATATAGGTAGCATGGCTACATATTTATGCCATATCACCTCTATTAAGTGGATCTCAACCAAGATTGAAGAGTTTTCATTGGACAGGTGAGCTTAAAATATTTGGAAATAATGAAGCAAGGATGTAGCAGTATTTGTGGATAAGCACAGATATCTCTCGATTCACCCAAAGGAATTGGCAGAATAGTACTGAGATCTACTGTGTTATAAAAATGCCAGTGAGTAATCCATGAAACTTCAATAAAGGTAGGAAAATATGTCCAAAATTAAGAGCGAAATATCTGCTAATACTCTAGTCATAAGTTTTATTACAATGACAATCATTTGCTACAGAAGAAACAAAATAGAAGCCACCAGCTTACAAATTCACAATAGAAAATATATTTTCTCAGGATTTAAATGAAAAATAATAGAAACTGTTAGAAAAATAAATTTCCTCAAAAGAAATGAACCCAGTTGTCATTACAACTTGAAAAATAAAGCATAAGAAAGGATTCCACTGAGTCTGGAGAAAGTAAATGCTCCTTATCCTGGCTGAATGAAAAAGAGAGGCAACTAAAAGCCCCACTGAGATCACACTGGATACAAGATCACATGGCTTCACGCGAGGTGCTTGAGGAATTAACTGACGTTCTATTTATAATCAGGGCGACAGGGGAGGTTTTTCTTTTCCCATTCCCTCCCTCGGTGTCTCAAATGCTCTTAATAAAACTATCAGTTGCCCATCAAGAGAGGCATGTCGTGCAAAGATCTTTTCATTAAAGGATGACATTTATCTTACTTACTGCACTATTTCGCCCTACATAACAAAATAGCTCAGGAAAATAAAACACTACAGGAGAATAAATGTCAAATGTTTCATGTTTTTGAAAAGCTTTTCATATGTGATACAGAAAATAGATTCATTTAGTTGGAAATCATGGTTTCTGTGAACTCATGGATCTTAGTTGCTAACCTGCCTCGCATGAGAACCATTATGCGGCTCATAAAGTAAATCCTGTTTCTTTGCAATATGACTAGATTTGCGTTATCGTGAGACTTCCAGTCACCCCTCCTATCAGAAACACTTCACAGAGGCCTGAAAAGAAAGTGTTGAGCTAGTTTGGCCTCATGAAGGCCTTGCTGGCTGGAAGTGATATTTATATTCTCCACGGCTACCCTGGAAACAAGGTACCCCTTGTCCATGGCTACCCTGGAAACAAGGTACCCCTGTCCACTTTCTTCCTCCTTAGCCTCCAAGATCATTGCTAAGAGGGAAGAGAAACATGTATTTAACAGAAGTTGCCAATCCACAATATGTCAGCAGAGGAAATTGCCAAGAGATCCTTTCCAAACTCATTTTGTTCTTTAATAAAAGTACACACATTTACAGGAACACACACACACACACACACACAAAAGAAAAAACCCATCACTAGTCATAATTTCCTGAACAAAGAGAGGCATTTTCCAACATTAGCACCAAGCAGTAAACATTAACGGAGAGACTGTCAGTAGTTTCAGAGTAAGAATGCACATTTAGTTTATTTCAAACACATGAGCTTCCCCAGGTGTAACGAAATGCTACTTAAAATCCAACAATCATGAATGACAGTAGGCAAGACACAAGGAAGTATATCATGGGTTGACTTACGGCATATTGCTGGGTCTTCATCTCTCCCCTTAGAGTGGTTGTGTCCAGAGTCACAGACTGATGCTTGAGCAAGGCACTGGCCACTGGCACAAGTGAATTCACTAGCAGAAGAAAGCTGCAGGGAGTGAGCGTGTCCACAGGCACAGACCAACAGCTGGTTCAGCCCAATAAAACTTCTCTGGCTCAAAACAGCACCTTCGAAAACTATCTTTAGGGGAAAAGTTGATTAATTTATAAATTTAGAGTCTTCGAAAAGACAAAAAAGTCTAAAGAAGAATAATAGAGATAAGTCATTAAAGAAAACATTTAAAAACCAGCCAAATGCAAGTGGTAACAAAGTTCCTGCTTGATAAATTTGATCTACACTCCTAAGATTGTGTTGATAAGCACATTTGCTCCATGAAGCTTTCTGAGAAACTACTCAGGATCAGACAAAATAAAACACTCCACATAATTATGCAAATATCATTTGACTATAAACGTGTTATATGAGTATCATTTTTACAGCTCTCTTTTGCTTTTCAAGGAAAAGAAAAATATCATTACTTACACAAGAGCTATTTTGTTTGATAAAACTATTAAAATTAATATTTGAAACTCTGAAGGGAAATATCAGGAAAAGCAAAAGAGATAAAATGTAAGAATGAAAACAAACATAAAAATAAAACTTTCAGAAAAGTACTAGTTCTCCAAGAAGAGGAGCCACACATTTTCCTGAGATTTGTAATATTATCAAGTGAAATCAGTTTCCATTACCAGCCAAATGCAGGCAAAGTCAAAGCTTTAGAATTCCTTGAGGTTCTTCCAAGGCTAGAGGCTAATGAACTGCAGGAGAACACAGTATAAATAGTTCACTATATAGCAGCTAATTTTCTACTGTCCATTTTAGCAGCAGCTAGCTACATATGATTAACTTAAATAACCTATGATCAGATTAAAATTCAGTTTCTGAATCACGTTATCTCCATTTCAAATGTTCAACACACACATAAGGCAAATGACCACTGTGGTAGACAAGCACAGATATTGATAGATGAGCAGCAATTTCCTTAGAATTGAAGCTTTCACTTCTGAGGGAAGAAAGGAGGCTCAAGGGACCCCAGGATGTATACAAAACTCACAAATCTGGGAAAGCTGAAACTTATATGAGTCATATGGTCTTTCCTGAAGTTAATAAAAGCATTAAATAAAGGTTGGGAAAAGGAGGTACTTCCACCAAACAGAGCTTCCTATAAGAGACTCTCTGACCCACTGAGCTGCCTGTCAGTCCTGTGATGCAGCTGCCTTTGAGTCATCCATGTTCCTGTAAGTAACTCCTCAACCACACTCCAGCAAGTAAACCCAATGAACTCATCGGTTCACCAGTTGGTCCTCCGTACAATTATCACTTTGTTCTGTTCTTGGTGTCTGTGACCCAGAAGTTGTCTCACCTCCCTCCCGCACTCTGTGGAAGGAGTCAAGCCCATTAAGGGGTGGGGCTATGGAGATATAAGCCAGGAAAACCATGAGACTCAGCTCTTGCCATTCTGTGTGGCTGTTGGGAAGCCGCCGGACTTATGTTTTGGTGTGGACTTTTGAGCACAGCCGTGAATGGGGTAGTTGCCATTTTTGGAATAGAATGCCGGCCAAAGGCCAGGGAGGCAGATGTCCCGCCCATCTAGGGGTCTCCTCAGTGAGGCCGATGAGGCACATGGAGCTCACTGGGAATAAGGGGTGGAGCCACTGCCATATTGAGCACAGGCCAAAGCTAAGTGAGAGGAGACCGATGGCACGTGGATTTCAAATATGGAAAAGGAAAAGCCTATAAGGATCTGTGTTGTTGTAAGTCACCCCTTCCCAAATGTCATATAAACTATGTAAAATCCAAATAGGATGCCTTATGTCAGTTTGTCAATGGGCAAGGCAACTGGGAGACACTGAATTGGGGGCTCTCAGCAAAAAGGGAAAAATTTAGTAAAATAGTGCCCTATCTGGGATGAGTAGATGTTTGTTCACATCTCCCCAGGAAAAGTCCCACAATAGAAAAGAGTTCCATGGATCCACATGCACCAGGTCCATAGAGTGCTAGAAATAAAATCGACTCCATTCAGGCTCACACAGTTTAAGTTTTCTGCATAGATTTTCAGCTTTTCAAAGACAGAAAGTCATACATTTCCTGTTTAGGCATTAATTTAGATCAATTTTCAATTGGAAAATATATTAAAATTGTATTTCAGAAGATAATATTAAATTTAAATCACATGTGATAAGAAAACTATGTATGCTGTTACATCATGTTCCATAATCAATATCACATGTATACATATATTATTAGGCCAATAGCTGTGTATTTTCATGACAGCAAGATATATATATATTATATATATTATAGAAAGAAATAGATATAGATCACTTCACGTTTCAAAATTGATGAGTTTAGATTGGGGTCTCTGAATCCACCATTTTATATTCATATTCTAATTCCATTTCTTATGTACTTAGAAACCTGTGACTCCAAAATGTATTCTGCCTACATTTTGCCTTATTTTATCCTCTAGTCAAAAAACAAGACAGACTTTAATTTTCAGTTTGTGGAAAAATTAACTTTCTGAATATATCTTTTAGATGTTATAAAGACCAGTTGATAAAATATTACAATAATGTCAAAATGTTAGCCTAAAAAGGTGTATTGTAAACCTCAACTTAAAACTTAAATTTTAAAGACATCACCCACTGAGCCTTCTGAGAGCAGATGTATGCTTCAGATGTATATTGGTACATATAGAAACTTTAAAGCATTGTTGTATAGACAATTGACCTCAACTTGCAAGATTGATATAAAAATGCTATGGTTCAAAAATTCCAGGCTCACAACACATGGGATTCTAAAAGCCCACATGATTATACCTCAGTATTTAGGGTGAGGGATGTAAGAATATGGTAATAACATAAAGGAATAAAACTGTTTTCATAAGTCATACAAATGCTCAATCTGTTTTCCAACATATACACTGTATGTACTATAAAATCTCAAGTTAAATCTTTAAAGACATCACCCACTGAGCCTTCTCAGAGCAGATGTATGTTTCAGATATATATTGGTACATACAGAAACTTTAAATGTTGCTGTATAGACAATTGAGTCTCAGCAGACTTTTCTACCTGCTTTATGATGAAAAGTGTTTGCCTAGGTGCAGTGAGTGCTGGGAGAAGCAGGGTAGACCCCGTGGGAGTGAGCAGGGGCCTTTACCCACAGAAATCGTGGCAATTAAAGAACAGGCATAATGAAAAATGTAATATTCTCACCAATGCAAAGCTGTTTTCTAACTTAAATGCTAACTTAAATTTAGCAGTGTTTGACAAATTCTCCATAGGAAAGTAATTTAAAGTTTTGGTAAATCTATGTTTGATCTCCTTGTATACCTTAAATGTCTTCAGACCTTCTGGTAGGACCACATTTGCTTTTACCCATTTGCTGTGAGTTGATGTGTTGAATGTCCAAATTGCTTCTTCTTCCTTTGATTTGAAGAGAAAGACATTATTCATTCCCCAAAATTTACTGGCATGTTTACATACGTACTCTTATAATTAGATTTTAGATGGGGTTACATTATTTGTATAGAAAATCTAAGGTACTTTATTTGCATAGAAAATCTAAAGTATTGCAGGTAAGAATTAAGAAGATGAGTAATAATTTTGAAGGAAAAAGCAGAAATAATCATATCTAAGCAATAAACCTATTTTAAACATTTCTGTTTATTAACACAAATTAACTGCACACGCTAACAGGATTCAGCATAGCATTTTCATAAACGCATCCAGTAGACACTGACCATATCCAACTGCCCATCTTCCATTTTTTCCCTTGGATCAGAAGTATCAGGGAAGTATAAAAGTTTTAACGGACCTTATAGAAAATAAGGTGCTACGTTTCAAAACGAAAAAGAAATAAGAGGCCAACACCTAATGTAATGTGAAATACAGAGACGCGCCTTCTGCTTCATTTCATAATTCCTGTGGGAGAGCTGACTCTAACTTTCACACAGCACTACCGCTGTCTGGGGTTATTTTGCACATTTGCCTCCTTTGACCATTCTACCAATGGTCTTTTTGTCTTTTCTACATCATGTTATATTTAAGATCCTCAAGCAAAACCTATACCATGCTCCATGAATGAGCTAACGACACTGGTTCTTATATTTTATGACCATGTTTCATACTCTGAAATAATCCTATTTTTATCCTTAGATATTACCAAACATTCAAGTTAATTCGATCTTTCCCTGGGGAAGACAGAGCAAATTGCACATAATACAGGGCGCTGTCATTTCCCATGTCTCCCTACAGTGACTATGGGGAGAACAGGACATCTATGTCTCTGGTTTGGTTCTGAGACTGGGCTTGCCTGGCCTCTATCATGAGATAGAAAGAAACATGGGTTATAATCTACTTGGAATTCTTGTGACACAGGACATGTTTTTCCAGACCCTTTTCACATGTCCCTCCTTACTCAGGTTCCCTTATCTCATCTGTTTCTTAAGATGAATCAATTTCCAACTTAGTTCTGTACCGGCCAGTGCCTAACCCAGATTTCAAATCCTAAATATTTCAGAAGGTCATTCAGAGCCATTGAAATGCACGTCTTGTCCGTGCTCATTCATGTCAATAGTCATGATTCCCACAGGATACTGAAGCACACTGCAGCTGCAGTCGGGAGCTTCCATGTCAAACTGGAATTAATTCATTACAAAAAGTTGAGACCTACAAAAAATTCCCTCTCTAATCATTTCCTACACAACTTCAGTTATTTTGCATCAGGACACTTCTAAAAATGCTTTTAGTGACATTGAATGGCAAATTGCATCCACCATTTCCTCCCCATGTTCATTTTATAAGAATAATTTAGAATAATTTGCTTTTTTCCACTATAACTGATTTCCCTCTATTCTATCAAAGATGAATGCATCTACATTTTTATTTGAGCAGAGTTTTCTCAAATTTTAAATGGTTTTCTGTATACTAACTTAATGGTGTCCTATAAATGAGACTGAAATTTTTCTACCCTAATTTCTTGTTTGGAAACATAAACAATGATAAAAAGAATTTGTCCCATGCTAAATGAAGGCATATTTTATTCTTCTCTTCCTATTCTCATGCTATTTAGTTTAAGCAGATGTTAATAAACAAATCTTCAGAATCAAAAAGTTTTTTAAGAGTTGTTCTAACTTTCTATTATCTTAAGAATCAATCATTAATCAATCAATTAACAATTTTAAAAGTGTCTTTGCTGTCCCAGACCAGGATCAATTTCAACAAAATTATTTATTACCACTTCTCTCAGAAATGTCAGCTTATCCCTCCCTCTTCCAGCAAAGAAATCAAATGTACCAAACTCAAGGTTGCTTTTTTCAAAAGTACTTTTGAACAGAACTCATGATAGAATCATATAATATGGTAAGTACTTTCTTTTGCTAGAGCTTGCCTTGGCCTGAACATTTGTATCAGGAAAAATAGACTTTCTAAGAATTCTTGTTCTGATACAACCTTTGTATGCATCCTATTTGCTAGTGGAAATTAAGAAACTACACAGAATGTGCCACAAATCAAGTTTCCCGGGATCCATAGACGAGCTTAGGAAAAAGGACGGGCTGTTTGTGACCTTTATTTAATAGACAAAGGACAGAGATCTATAGTTAGATAACATAAGCAAAAACTGGATGCTCGGAATTAGTCACCACATTCTCTTCAGAAGAGATTAAGTGACGGTTTTCTTTGAGACATATTTCAAATGGAGGTTTAGAGTCTTCTGTGGGAGATAAAAATAACAACTTGTAGCTTAAATGCACTTTGAGACAGTTTTCATTCATGGGTCAACAAATGGCAAAGCAGAGGTTAGAGAAGACAGAAATCCTTGCAGAATATGCATATTGCAATGAGTCGGGACTCTACAGTGAATGCCAAACTGATTTTAGTTAAGGCAGAACTTTCAGCTTGGCAGTATTCATTCCTCCTCACTAACTTGTGGCACCCCCATTCTGACTGTACAAGATGGCAGCCTCAGACCACCTTTCACTCTTCCTGTACAGGCCAAAGCTGCTAGAAGAATAAAGTTATTCACTTTTAGTATGAGAAATACTGAGAGTTTGAAAAATCCATCAGTGATATTCTGGGTAGATTAAAATAACCGTAGGGAGTCAAACATAAATGATTCAAATCTCTACTTAAAAGTATGATAATTCTCATTGGCTATGAAAATGAAAACTAAATCATTTGCCATGTGTAAAGCTCTCTCATGGGATCATACTTTTTGAATTTTTAAAATTTTTACTTTATGTATATGAGGGTTTTGCCTGAATATATGTAAGTGCACCATGTGTGTGCAATGCCCAAGGAAGGCAGAGTAGAGAGTCAGAGCCTGTGGAACTGGAATTTTGAGATGGTTGTTAGACACCATGTGGGTGCTGGTAACCTGACTGGGGTCCTCTGCAAGAGCAATCAGTGCTCTTAACTGCTGAGCCATCTCTCTAGCCCCATGGAACTGGGTATTTTGGGTTTCTGTTTTTTTAATTTTTATGCACTTCAAATAATATATCTTAACTATATTTAG